TATTTGGTTGTTGCGTACCAAAGTGGTTCATGAAGGTTCCTCTCCTCTCTCAAAGCTGTCGATGAGTGCCATCTCCATAAATTTTATTGGCGCAAAGGTAGCCCTTCTTAGTCCACACTTAGCTAAGGATGCTCTATCCGAGTAGAGGGCACCTCTTCCAGGGTGGACCAAACTGAACATCGACGCAACATTGGATAGAGATGTTGGGGTTATCAGAGTCTTAGCGCGAAACTCTTTAAGTGAAATCCAATGGTGCTGGTCAGCAAAGGTCAACACCACAAACCTGAAAACTCTCAAGTTTCTGTCCTTTCGCGAGGCCCTCTTGAAAGCTAAAGAGACAACCTTGAGCACTTCACAATGGAAATTGATTACAAGGTGGTGAAGGAGGTCAAGTTGGCGGAAAGTGTTCATTGGCACGTTGGCTCTGTTCTGGAGGATGTTCGGTTGACAAGCCTGCTCAACGGGGAGGCCACAATCAATTGGATTCCTAGGACTATAAATTATGCAGCTCATAATCTAGCTCACTGGAGTCTGTCTTATTCTGTTTATGGCATGATAGACGTAGCTGTTTTACCTCAGTTTATTTTTAGTAATGTTTGTGAGTGGATTGCTAGTTAGCTCTTTTCTAGCCAATCCAGCTCTTTTCTTGTTTCAAGCCTTGTTTTCCGCCTTGTTGGTGGCCTCTTTATGGCAACTCCACTAGGGACCGAACCTAGAATCTCTGGTTATCAAAAATTTGACCCTGGACAATCAACAATCAGGCCTTTGAGAAGAAGAAATGGCGATACAAATCAAAACAGCCAAACGGAGGAAAATACCATGTATCCAACCAACAGTGTGTTGGTTGCCAAATCGAATCCGGCTGCGGAAGCGTGGTGGTGCGGGGAAGAGGCGGATCGTGTATAACAAAAATTTTCATAAAACTTTTGAGATACTCTATAGATTATATTAATTTATGCACGAATAAATTAATCTCATTAACTTATATATATCAAGAACTCAATCAGGAAAAATACCTGGAAGCCGACTCGGATGATAACTTGAGTTCTTTGACCACGAACAGTCCTTGCTCCAATCTTTGTGTTTAGAAAACCAATGTCTTCCACATCAATTCCTAGAATCCACGAAGACGTGTGTGTGGGCACACATGAGACAAAACGGGTTACAATAAACACTCGAATTTCCACAAACACCATCACATGCACGATGTGGAATTTTTGGAGAAAAATTTTTTCCTTCCTTTCTCTCTTGAGAATTTCGGCCAGCCTTAACTCTTAGGGCTGAAAAACTGTTTTCAAAATTTTTATAAAGAATTTTGGGCTACCTCTAAAATTAGGGCAAAAAACCATTCCGAAAATTGTCTCAAAAATAGTATTTATAGAGTAGAAGTCAAATTTCTAGAAGGAATCCAACCTCTATCTCTAAGGTAAAGCTTGTTAATTATCTCCTATTTGAATTTTAAACCAAATCTCCTCTTTTCCTCTATCCTATATGGCCGGCCATTCTAGGGGGATTCTCATCCCTGTGTGGCGCCAATATCAGATAGGGAAGGAAGAGAAAATCATCATTTATCCTGTAGTCCAATTTTGACTCAAATTCAAATTCCAATTTAAGTCAAACTTAAATTAATTTGAATTCTAAATTGAACAACTTATCAAATAAGTTTAAATGCATAAATCTAGATGTGTTCAAATTCAAATTTAAATAATCACATTATTTAAATAATAATTAATTCTCAATTAATTATTTTCGAGTATTTAATTTTAGAATTCCGTAATTCTAAAATTCCCATTTTGCCCTCTGTGTCTAGCAGAATTACTTGGACGACGCGGAGACTAATGGACCTATAATCCCGAGCTCCAATAAAATTAATAATTAATTAAACACTTTAATTAATTAATTAATTCTATTAATTCCAATAGTTACTCCACTATAAACTTGGAATTGCACTCTCGAAATTATAGATATTAATTACTTATAAACTGTGAAGTGTCCATTTGATATAGTCATTGCATATAGATCAATCCTCCATAAATAATTCATAATTAGAGCAAGGTAAAATCCGTTAACCTCTCTAATTACTTCTTTATCCTTGAGTACCATTGATTCTCTAATGGACAGTGATTCATAAAACACATTCATGAATCGGAGCTCCTACTGGTCCAAGTACCGAATCAACCCTCAAGAGAATTATTTATCTACTTCTTTCTTAAGAAGGAATGGATTCCATCTCGTGTAATAACATTCCCGGCTACCTACTTCATCATGTCTCCAAAATACAAGGAAGAGGATTCAGGATCTCAGAATCCGTACCGAGTAAATCAAAAGACACAAATCCATAAATAGGAGTCTGTTAAGAACTCAGGATTAAGATCATCTTATATATGACCATCGGTAGACTCAATTAGAATTTTTATACTTAACGGAATTATTAGAAATTCATATTGTGTTTGTGTCCTTGTTCCACATAATCTCATTATGCGAAATACACTCATTCAATATCTCGCCATATTAACAGTGCGGATAACACCGTTCCATTCTAAATGGGAATGACATGTATTAATAATGTTTTAATTAAAGATTCTGAACTTTAATTAAATTCATTATGAACATTGCTTTTTGATTATTATCCTTAAACATTATCCTCTCGTATATAACACTTATATACAGTGTTTAAGGTTACATAAATAATCATGGAATTTTCATTGATATTCACAAAATATTCATAAATATATGCACATAAAATAATGAATAAACTATTTTATTAAATAAAGAATAAATATCCTATTACATCTCATGCTTCTAGGACACCATTCCCAACACAGTGAAGATGGGAGAAATCACCCCGACCAGGGGAATCAACCCCCGACGAGGGATGAAGCTCCACCCCCAGACACGCCACGGCTTGACCCGGTATAGATGCAGGCCCAGCTGAACACTCTGATTGACTTAGTTCGAGGACTGACGACCGTTGTCGAGCAGTTAGACGAAAGAAACTCTATGCCTCCCTTGGAAGATACCCTGAGACTACCAGGAGCTGCCATGAATGGGAACCAAAATTCTGGTGAGCGTTAAGGTGCTCCGAAAGGGATTGGGGATAGTGAAAATGCCAAGAGACATAACCTGAGACCTCGACCATCCAAGTCCCTTGGTAGCCGACAAAGGGTTGCCAAGCGACGAACCCAGGAGAGAAGAACACACGGAGGCCTGGAAAACCCTGAGGCGCCCCCTCAGAACCCGGGAAAAAATATCCCAGGAGATTCGGGATCGGTACAAGAAGGTGAAGACCTGAGGGATAAGCTGAACACAAAGAAGGCAGGAGCCTCGAAAGAGGCCAGATCTGCAATCTCTACGGAAGAGTCTAGAGCCATTATGGAGCGTGTGACGAGCCTAGAAGAAAAGTTCACGGGTGACGTCGCCAGTTTAAAGAAAGACGTCAGAAGCCAGGTGAGCCACCGACAAAAAAGCCTAGGACAAGTGGCGGAGGTGGTCAAAGTCGACATCACCCCCAGCCGAACTCACGACCACCCTTTTACCACAGAGATCATGGCACTGCCTTTACCCGAAAAATACAAGTCCCTAACAATCCCACCGTACGACGGCAGAGAGGACCCCGATAATCACTTGGAAATGTACACAGGGCACATGCTTCTGCATGGGTATGCGGAGGAAATAATGTGCTGAGCATTCCGAAACCACTTGACAGACTCCGCCCGAAGATGGTTCCGGACTCTCAAACTAGAGTCCATCTCTAGTTGGAAAGAGTTGAAAGAAGCATTCTCCCTTCAGTTCATTAGGGTAAAGAAGTATATCCCGCCAAAGCAAAATCTGACGATGGTATACCAGAAGCCAAACAAATCATTAAAAGAATGGCTTGTGAGGTACGGGGAATTCGTCGCCACTACAATAGATATGACGGACCGAGAGGCTCTGATGAGGGCTTTGTCTAGCATGGAAAAGAGCACGGCGTTTAAACGCGACCTCAACCGAAAGCCACCAGCCACCTACAAAGAATTCTTAGCACGGGCACAGGGGTATATCAATGCTGAGGAAGCCAACGCGAACGATCCCGAACACCGATCCAATAAAAATAAATGAGCTGAGCAGGGTCGACCTCCGGGAAGCCAGATAGTCAAAAATGACGAGATGGAGGAAACGGAGACAAGCAGACCGTGTCGGCGCCAAACCCTCCGAAAACAAAGAAGAAGAGGTAAGAGGAAAATCGAAAGCCTCGGCCATTCCAACAATAAGACTCTTATCACGAGCTTACTATAGGCGTCAAGGAAGTATTCAATCAGGTCGAAATAGGAAACTTACTGCGCCAACCAGAGCCAATAAAGTCGGACCCAAACCGGAGGAATCAGAGCAAGTACTGCAGGTTCCACGGCAACGTTGGGCATAACACCAACGACTGGGCTGACCTAAAAGATGAAATCAAGAGGCTAATCCGTGAAGGGAGGTTGCAGGAGTTCAAAGCCGAAAGGAGAGGCCAAAGCCTAAGAAATAATGGTCAGCGCCGGGAGGATAACCGGCGGGGAGAAGACCGCGAACCGGTCAGTGTCATAAGAACCATCGATGGGGGGCCATATCTCGGTGGAGATTCCAGGAAGTCCCAGAAAAGTTATGCCCACGAAGCAAGACAGGTGTACCAGGAGAGGTTATGGAACCTCTCAACCCCCAAATAAACCAAGACGACAAAATTCGACAGTATTGAAGTAGCTTTCACCGAGGAGGATGCAAATGGTGTCCATTTTCCACATAACGACGCCTTGGTAGTGGAGGCAGTAATTGGAAACCACACCGTATGCAGGATCCTGGTAGACAACGGAAGCTCGGTAGATATCTTATACTCTGACTGCCTGAAAAAAATAGGGATCCCAAATGAGCAATTGGAGAAAATGTCCCGAACGTTATTCAGGTTCACAGAAGACTCAGTTATCCCCCAAGGAACGATACGGCTGCCCATCACCACGGGAGAAAAGCCTAGGCAGGCAACCACGATGGCAAACTTTATGGTGATAAAGGGGGGCTCACAGTATAACGCCGTAATTAGGAGGCTGACCCTTCAGGCACTAAGGGCGATAACCTCCATCTATCACCAAAAGGTTAAGTTCCCAACCCCTAATAGCATAGGCGAGATGAAGAGCAATCAGTACGAATCCAGGATTGCATACACAGATGCCCTGCGCGGGTACGATCAACCAGGGAGACAGGAAGCTAGGATGGTACACCAAGGTGTAGTCGAGGACATAGATCCTAGAGTCACAGAGGAAACCTGGTCCCAACCAATCGAGCAGTTGGCGGAAGTCCAGGTTGATCACGGGGAATCGATGATGGTATTGAAGATAGGATATGATATGTCTCCGGCGCTCAAAATCAAGGTCGAAGAGTTCCTAAAGAAAAATCTGGATGTCTTCACTTGGACACACGCAGACATGGAAGGCATCGACTCCCTAGTCATGTGTCACGCTCTGAACGTCGACCCCACATATCCCCCAAAACGTAAAAAATACCGACTGATGAATCCAGAAAGGTACGAGACGTTAAAGGAGGAAGTCGATAAACTCATCAATAACGGTTTCATAAGAGAGGCTCACTATCCCAGATGGATTTCAAACCCTGTCCTGGTAATCAAACCTAACGAGACGTGGAGATCATGTGTCGATTTCAGCGACCTCAACAAAGCCTGCCCAAAAGACGGTTTCCCGTTCCCCCGAATAGATCAAATGGTCGACGCCACTTTCGAGCACGAGCTGTTAAGTTTTATGGACGCCTACTCCGGCTATATTCAAATTCCAATGCATCCCTCTGATGAAGAGCATACGCCATTCATAACAGACAGGGGCCTCTATTGTTACCAGGTAATGCCCTTCGGCTTAAAAAACGTAGGGGCAACATACCAGAGGCTAGTAAAAAGTTGTTTGCTAAACAAATTGTAAAAACAATTGAGGTATATGTCGATGACATGTTGGTAAAAAGCGTCAAGGCAAGACACCACGTCGACCATTTGGGCGAAATGTTTGATATACTAAGGAAATATCGATGAAGCTAAACCCTTTGAAATGCGCCTTTAGGGTTGGGTCAGGAAAGTTTCTTGGCTTCATTGTCAGTAACCGAGGAATAGAGACTAACCCGGAGAAGATAAAAACTTTGCAGGATATGAGGTCTCCCACGAAATCAAATGAGGTCCAAAGGTTGACAAGATACGTCGTCGCCCTTAACAGATTCATATCTAAGGCGACGAACAAATACGTTCCCTTTTTTTATGCCCTGAATGGAGGCAAGTATTTCGAGTGGACACCGCAATGCGAAAAGGCCTTTCAAAGGCCGAATGAGCACCTTGGCATACCTCCTATCTTATCAAAACCTATACCGAGCAAAAAGCTGAGCTTATACCTCTCCGTGTCAAAACATGCTGTAAGCTCTGTATTGATCAGAGAAGAAGGGATCCAGTTACCGGTCTACTACGTAAGCAAAAGACTCCTAGATGCTGAGTTAAGATATACCCAGATGGATCAATTAGCTCTCGCCTTATTGGTGGCCTCAAGGAAGCTTCAACACTATTTTCAAGCCCACATTGTACGAATCCTAACGAGCCACCCGCTGAGGCAAGCTTTACAAAAGCCTGAAACCTCAGGTCGACTCTTGAAATGGTCGGTGGAGCTGAGCCAATTTGACATCGAATACGTACCAAGGGTGGTGATCAAGCGACAAGCATTAGCGGACTTCCTGGCAGAGTTCTCCCACAGACCGGCATTAGCCGCCGATGAAGAAATTAAGGAGATAAGATGGAAGCTTTACGTAGATGGAGCGTCAAACGAAACCGGGTCAAGAGCAGGCGTAATGCTAGTAAACCCAGAAGATCACAAAATTACGTCAGCGGTACGATTCAAATTCAGGGTGTCAAATAATGAAGCGAAATATGAGGCGCTGATCGCAGGATTGCGGTTAGCAAGTTACTTAAGTTTGAAACACTTGAAATTTTCAGTGACTCTCAATTAGTGGTCGTGCAAGTGAAAGAAGAGTATCAGGCATGCGGAGAAAAGATGGGGGCCTATCTGAGGAAGGTAAAGGAAGAGCTTGTAAAATTCAAAAGTTATGAGATACATCAGGTACCAAGAGCTGTGAATACCAACACCGATGCCCTGGCCAAACTGGCATCCTCAAAGGATTCGGACTAATAGGGGTCGTCCCCATCGAAGAACTAGAACGGCCGACTATTGACGAGGCAGTAGAAGTCTTAACAATTCAGGCAGCTGGGAACTGGATGACACCACTCGTCTGGTATTTGATGAACGCGGAGCTGCCCAACGACAGAGACGAAGCCAGAAGGATCAGGTACAGAGCCACCAGGTACCTACTATATGATGGTTTGCTATACAGACGAGGCTTCTCAATGCCTTTGCAGCGGTGCCTAGATGATCATGAGGCGCAAGGGGTCCTCCGGGAGATCCATGAAGGAGTGTGTGGTAATCATATTGGGGGACAATCTCTAGCTCTTAAGGTTTTGAGACAGGGGTACTATTGGCCTACGCTTAAAAAAGACGCGTTTCAATACGCTCGACATTGCAATAAGTGCCAGTGATATGCCACGGTTCCTAGAGCTCCCCTGGAGAACCTAACTTTCGCTCTTAGCCTATGGCCTTTTGCCCAATGGGGGATCGACCTGATCAGACCTTTACACCTCGCACCCAGAGGGCTTAAGTTTGTCATCGTCGCTGTGGACTACTGTACTAAATGGGCCGAGGCGAAAGCTCTTACTTCGACCACCAAGGCAGCCTGCACCAGCTTCATATGGAACAACATTATATGCAGGTTCGGCGTTCCACATTCGATCGTGTCTGACAATAGGAAGGAGTTTGACAATGCCTCGACGCGTAAATTCTGTAAGGATTTAGGCATACGAAAGGACTTCTCAACTCTAATACATCTGCAGTCCAATGGCCAAGTTGAGGCCATCAACAAAATCCTAAAGTATACCTTGAAGAAGATGCTTGACAACTTAAAGGGAAAATGGTCCGAAAAACTCCTAAAAGTCTTATGGGCAAACAGAACGACAAGTCAAACTACCGCGGGCGAAACACCATTCTCTATGGCGTATGGAATCGAGGTTGTACTCCCTGTGGAGATCGAGACACAGACTATAAGAACGATCGTGTACAACGACGACACAAACATGGAAGTCATGAACGGAGAACTCGACCTATTGGAAGAAAAAAGGCTCGATTCTCAATTATGACTCGCCACTTACCAACGGAGGACAACGCGATGCTACGACAAGAAGGTCAAACAAAGAAGGTTCGTCCTGGGAAATCTGGTATTAAAAAGGGTGACGCAGAACACTAACCCAAAAAATACTGGTCCCCTTGGCCCGACTTGGGAAGGACCCTACCGCGTGAGAGAGGTGCTACGCCCTGGGACCTACGTTTTGGAAAGGCTCACCGGCAAACGGATTCAACACCCATGGAATGCAGAGCAGTTGAAACTGTACTACCAACAGTGTACGAATTCTCGCACGCTTTAATTGCGTTTGGCATTTCATTAATAAAAATGAAGCTTATTCATAGCAAGTGTTAAAAAAACTAAAAGAAATTGACCCCTTAATAACATGTCTGTCTAAAACCCAAGGTTTTTAAACAGGCATGGGGGAGGGGCAATAAAGGGTCTATAGATCACAAAAAATACGTATATGCCCAAAGAGAACAATAGAAAAGAACTCTAAGGAGCATTCGCCTATTTTAAAACGACGACTCTTCCATGGAGAAAAGACGATTTAATTAGCAAAACTTTAACAAAATTGCTAAATCAACGACCTCAAGGGGTACTTAAAGATGAAGGCAATTAAATACATTATATAACAAAAAAAAATCAACTCTCACCGCCACCAGAGCCATCTCCTTTGCTAGGTTGAAGAGAACCGTCGTCGTCAGCAGGAGGAGGGGGAACATACAGGAAACTCAGGTCCCACTCAGGATGTTGTTGCTTGATCAAATCTACTATCTGCTCCCCAGCGGACTGAAAATCATTGGTATGAATTTCAATAAGTTCCTCAGAATACATGAACTCCTCAATGATTTCCCCGCGCTTAGCGGCAAACCCTTCTGAGGCCGCAAGTTCAGCCTCCTTCTTCCCTTCAGCTTTCCCCTCGGATGCTTCTCCTTGACCTCGGCCGCGTCTTTCTCGGCAACCTCCGCCTGCCTAGTAGCCTCCCCAACCTGTGTCTTCAGGCTGGCCAACTCATCTTGAAGACTTGCCAGCTTGGCCAATTCATCTTTTAGGCTCGCCAGTTGGGCCACGGCCACATTCTTCTCCTCGATGGCAGTCGAGCATTTGGACTTAGCATCATAAAAAAGAGATGTAAGTTTGGCTTCTAAACTATCCATTTATCCGCTATGTTCTTCAACCTTGACCAGGTCTATGAGGTTAAGAATAGCAAGGACGAGGCCCTAAAAACAAGTCAAAAGTCAGAAAGAGAGGGAGAGGGTCGAATCTAAAAAATATGGTCTACGCTTACATGGATCTGAAAGGATATCTGCTTGCGCTGACGATCCACCAGAGAGGAACGAGAAGCGAAGACCCAATATTTGTCAAAAAATGACTCATATATGGCCTGAAAGAAGAGGGAGAAGTGGGGAGGAAGATTCATCATCGCCTCAATTTGGGCGTCAAAGACATCTTGGACTTGGAAGGTCGGGTCCATAACCTTCACCTCGGGCATAAGGGGGCGATCTTTGGGTGGAGGAGTAACCTCGGCAACATCAGAAATTGGAACCACTGGCGTCTAAGTTCCTCTTTCGGTTACCCGCACCTCCTCTTGGTGTACCCTTTTAGGCGCAGAAGCCTCTGACGCAGAGCCGGACACACGACCCGAAGGTCTTCTTTTCTTCAGGGTCGACGAGGAAGCACCAGCCTTATCCTTCCCTTTGGGCTGAGGACGACGATTGGGAAGCTGAATATTCAAAAAAGTCATTTCTGCACAACTTGAAAGGTTAGGTGAGAGGTCAACATGTAATCATTCCAATAAAAAAATGAAGGCAGCGAGCCCAGAAATTTACCTTCTGCATTCAGGTCAAAAACTCCTAAACGAGGGGAAGGTTCATGGGATCTAGATGAGAGAGAATTAGCCCCGCTTCCCTCAGGTTATCCTCGGTTAAAAGGATATCGATGTGGCGATCACTCTCTGGGATAGCAAAGCGTCATCAAGCCTCGCCCGTCTATGCCTAGCTAGCTTCGGCCGGTCGTGGCTAACTGTAAGACAAATTAACCATCAGCGTTATAAGTAAAAGGAAGGAAAGATGAGAGTAATTCACTTGATTCTCACTTAAATTCCCAAACGACATCTGCATTTTTTGGCGATGGGGGCGGCAGTCTTCAGGGTGAATATTAAAAGGTCCCCTGACTAGGAAAACATGGGCTTCCAGCCATATGAGGAAAAGGGGATTCCTTGTATGAGCCTACCTAGACAGGACTTGGATCGTCCATGGCCACCTAAATAAAACCACCACTCGCACTTTGTGACGTGGCTCAGTTTGTACATATACAAAAATTCAACTAGCAGCAGATCTACGTCAAACCGTTGACTCCACAAAACTCAGGCACCGGCAAAACAGTACCAACAGTTCGGCGCCAACTGGGCAGGAGAGATGCCATGATGATGGCAAAAATCCTTCATAAAGGGATGAATTGGCAAAGTCATCCCTACGGTGAAGGCTTGGGTGAATACAAGAAGATACCCAGGAGGGGGAAGGCTGGACCTAAAATGTGCGTCCGGAAGAAGGTAATCAAACCACCTCCTATATATGTGCCCCTCTTTATACGCTCAGACAATATCCCTATTCTGAGTCATCGGCATCGTCACGTCGGCCGTAAAGAAAGGTCGATCGGGATCTCCACTCATACCGGCCAGCGGGGCATCTACGACGGCAGCAACAAATCCATGCATTTCTCCCCCTACCATGTAACCTTCGCCGATGTCGTCTCCCTCGACCAACGCATCAACACTGTCGGGTTCCCCCATTTCTACCGCATAGTTCTCGACCTCCCTAAAGATGGGGTCATCATTGGTTGAAGAAGATGTCCATGAGGCTTCGGCAGCGGAAGGAGAGTCTGACCTTACAACGAACGAAGGACCTTCTCGACGGTTACACAGTTTTGGGGCCATTATTCTGGCATATATATATATATATATATATATATATATATATATATAAGAGAGAAAAAGAGGATAATATGAGGAGCTGAGTCAGAGTCCTAAGTTTGGGTGGAAAAAGACAAATGACGACTGTTCAAGGTATTTGAACGCCGATTGCTCAGACAGTCGTCGACTATTCATATAAGAAGAACGTCGACTGCTCATAAGAAACCCAGGTCACCAACCACTTTCCAAAATCAAAATTCCAAAAACTCTTTACAGTCAACCAGGAACCACAAAAACTATCCTATATAAGCCTAGGAAAGCGCGAAGTAAGTCTCTACTCTCCTCAGTATCTATTTCAAGTCCAAAGCACATGATGATTCGACAGAAATCAAGTAAAAGGACACAAATTACACGAGGATGCAGTTATACCATAAAAGGGACTTACCAGCAACTTGAAGAGGCGAAAATTGGAACTTGGTCCAGGGGAACATCGTGAGAGAAATATGGTATGGAGGATTCAGGAAAAATTTTGGGCAGAATAACGATAGGTCTCACGAGTTTAGGTAGAAATGTACTCGGTTTAAGGCGCTTTTAAAAGCTCATGAACCATCAACCCCTGGTCGTGGGATAGAATCCTAGCAAATCCAATGGTGGGGGCAATCAGTCAAAATCAAACAATAGTGACAAAGGCGGGAAGACGAGAAGGCATGATCCAATGGCCTAGATTCGTTCGTTTAAAACAAAAGCTCACATCAGCATGATAATCGAGGCGATGCGACGTTTGCCCTTCTCGAGGGATTTTGAAAACGTCAGAATCATCATTACTATCATTGCAAAGGAGGTTCAGAGTTAGGTTCCCACGCCCGAGGCAAACGAAGCGCCAGAGCAAAATCCCAACCAAGCTCGAGGCTGTCCAAAGGAAATCCTCGACCTGGGGGGCAGTTGCTATATGGGAAAATGTGCACTATGTTTACCACGTCAGATAGCAGTCGATGTCTGGGCCTTGTTTTCCTTCTGAGTGATTGGAAAGGCTAAGCGTATGGATGAATCCTTAGACCGCTAGCCATTCAAGACCGTCGAGGCCTGTATAACTTACGCATTGGAAGTGCCACAAAAGTCAGCCGAATGAAGCTGAGCCTTGTTTACTAGTATAGGCGTCGATGGTAGAATACAGGTTATGGAGTGCCTCAATAAAGATCTCTAACACAGGCAGGTTGCGTCTGGGTTCAAAAGATGTCAGTAGCATAGGGATCAATTATGAGCCCCTAAAACTGCCTGTAATGGACGGTTGAGGATTACAAGATCTGCAGAGCCGTAATATGGGACAAATTGGATGAGTGAACAGTGCAAAAGGTATTTACAGACTATGATCTGAGCCCATAGGGTAGTAGGCCACTTGAGTGGATAGGCCTACAAGGAAGAACCGCCCAAGAAGTAATCGTTGGGCTATAAAAGGGGCAAAGGCCCAAAGGATTGAGAGGATCTTTTCTATGTAATAGTAGTAGAAAAAAAAAGATATATACAATACACAGTGGATGTAGCTCTTGATGAACAGAGCGAACCACTATAAACCTTGTGTGTCTTTTACATTCATTCAAGCACCACTTCCGCACTTCTTGAATTACCATACCACCAAAAGTACTTTAGCAGCATTAACCCAAATATATAACGATTTCAGGCCGGTAACCCAACAGAGTACCAAGAGGTAACCCGGCATAATTCTGTTGGCGAAATTCAACTGTCAACAGTGCCTCTTTATGAAATCCATTTATTAACAAAAAAAAAATGCGGCTTGTCAGCCTTTATACCTTCTAGTATATTTATATTCTATGATGAGACTTTTTTTTTTAAATACCGATAAAAACGACTATTTTAACTATTAGATTAGGTGCATATTTGGTTTGAGTCATGAGGATTCAAACCACTCTAGTTTTAGTTATAAAAATTTAAATTTAAAAAATTCTTTTATTTTTTCTCACAAAATTTAAACTCTAATTTTAACTCTCAAAACCAAACAAACACTAGTTTTTATCAATTAGAACTACTTGTAAGACCTTTCTTTACTTCAAACTATTAAAAACTTAGTCCAATGATGAAAACAA